CTAGGCGAGTTGGAAACCGAAGTACAATTAAGACGAGACGGCAGTTTTTCCGGCAAATTTGAGTACTAGTAGATGGTCTAGATGGAGGCTAAGGTTGGTTCGAGTTGGAATTGGTCTCATTCAGCGCAAAAATGCAAGAAAGTTTGGAATCAGGCAAATCATGAGGTATATTTGATCATCCTCAGGGCATCTAGAATCAGCAGAATAGCCCAGGTCAATCAAAACTCTGCCAAGGATTGTGTCCTATTCATTCGATGTCACTTTAACAGTAACATTCTAGTATAGCTAAGTGCATTTTTCGGTCATATTTTTGATGTAAATAGACATTGAAAAACTATCAGTAACTCTTGAACGATTCTTCCAGTCAACTGAGGTCATAGTAAATGACGAAGAAATGAGGCTTGACTTCCTTCCGCAATCATACGAGTTGTTGTTGTGGCTGAAACACAGGAGATGTTGAACCAGTACTCCACTTTGGACGAGAAAAGCTTTTGGGAATGACATTCTGAGGTGTACTCATCCGATTGTGGGCAGATAAGCAGGATAGAACGCTTGTCTTTTGGGCATGTATCCAATCGAAATTGTCTTTACCGACATTGTGCTTAGATTCAGTTCATGAAATGTAAAGTGACTGGTTTTGTGATAGCACAACTGGTAGTTGAGGCGGAAACTTGTCAAAACAATAAGCTTCATCAATTTCGCAGATATCTTTGTGTGCTTCACATTTCACAATTTAAGGAGAAATTTAGTTAAGGAGAAATCTGAGAAATAAAAGTGTAAAAATAAAATCACCGACCTCACCTGATAGAAAAATGCCCTGAGAAAACAGGTATTTTGATACAGAAAGAACTCTAAAGATAAACGCAGAAATATTTGATGAATCTCATAAGATAACATTTCTAAAATGCTCGGAGAGATGCTCTGAAACTCCGTTTTCCTTCATGTAATTTATAATCCCTCCGGGTTGTAGCCGGTATAACGTACAGATGTTAACACTTCTCCACACACAAAGGCACACAATTAAGTATAAATACACTGATTGATGCTAAAGTGAACTAATCAAATCATTATTTATTTATTTATTTATTTTTATTTATTTATATTTATTTATATTTATATATTTATTTATTTATTTATATATTTGGTATTTTTATCATGAGTATGGACAAAATGTGGGATAGAGCCGGATGGCTTTCTTAACTTAGTGTTAGATTGAAATTTTCGCACTTACGACATTTGTCATTTGGCGAGGTAAAATCTCTCGTGGGCTTCTTCAACCCGAAATTCGTATTAAAGCCAAACAACTGTAAAACATTCGGAATCACCCAGCTTTGCCGATTAGATCAGCCAACGAATCTCGTCATGATGAAGTTTTATTCGATATAAGACCCCACAGAGAACTTTTCTTAACACAATGAATGAAACAATGGAAGCATATCTAAGAAGTGACCCTTTGGGAGAGGGGATTAAAAGTAGCGCTTCCTTTGGTTATTAAGATTCTCAAGCTTGCTGTGATTCAGTTTTAGAAATATAATTGTCCAGAAAGCAAGCATTCCCTTGAATTCATCGTAGACAAAATTGTATCCATTAAGATTAGTTTTTTTAGATGCATTTTTTAATACAGAATGGTTGAATTGATGCCAATTTGGCAATAAAGTGATCCGTGGATGGAATAAGAAGATGAAGCCTGAGTAAACTTGTTCTTGTTTTCTTTTCTTTTTCTAGATTGTTCAGGCCAATACAGTCTTCGGGACTGCCTTTCTCTACTAGTATGGAAATGCTTTGACATATTTTCTTTTACTAGTCCGAAATTGTCATAACTCGAATGCATTCATATAACTTCTGCTAGCCTGCAACTAGCAATTCAATTTACCAAAATATATTTTCCATAGAAAATATAAAACTAAGTGATTAGAAGATAAGATCATATGTATGAAGTACAAACTGGTTTGGCCTCTGTTTTGATCGTATTCTCCTATGTTATTCAATATTTTGGTGATCATGTTTTTTCATATAATGTAAAAATGAAGTAAAATATGGTCTTTGCATCTCGAATTAACAGAGGATAAGAGATTGAGGTATTGAATGAGTCTGGGAGACAAAGAAGTTGAAGGAGTTGAAGGAAATTATGAAGTCAGGAGTCATGGTTAACTTGTACTTTGCCCCCATCTAGAGCCGCGGTCTAATTAATTAGTATATATTTTCATTCTCTTTTCTCGCTCCTTGATACCAATTTTAAATATTTATGATGTTGATTTCATGCAAATGCTTGTGATCAAACTATTTAATATCGATTTCATTACAAAATGATGTTATATTCCCTTCTGTATGTTTTATTTTGGTTTCAAGTCAATCTTCAGTCTTCGAGGTAATCTCCATGTCTTCTGGTGACAACCTACTGAGTTCTTGTCAGTCATAAAATTTGGTCAGACATAATCCAAAAGGAAAATCGGTATTATAACTTCTTCAAGCAAACTTTTGTAATCAGAATAAAATCAGAAAAACCTCAAAGAGCGTTCCTAGTCGGACGAGGCATACCGGAGGTGTAATGATTAGTTTATGTACAGATAAGTTATCTCAGGTCGCCCTGACGCCGCAATCAAATTGAGAAAACAATAAAAGACAACTAATATGCTCTTTATAGGCCGGAAGTGGCTGTAAGGCTGACTTTCAGCTTTGTTGATGTCCAACAGAAGAAAGCTCCGCACGTTTTTACCAGAACCGAGGAAGAGTGTCTAAAGGAATGAAGTTCCAAGTGAAAATAGACCAGAACAGCTCGAGGTAAATTCAATATTGTCTTCTGATTAGATGGACCTACAAGTTTATTAATCATACTTTCGCAAGAAATTACCATCCAACTCAGTAAAAGCTAGCACTATGGGTGAAGGAAGGATTGAAACAATGTTAAAAGGTATATTCACATGAGATGATGAAGGATTGATGGTAGAATTTTCCAACAATTATATTCGTTCAATATGAGAAAACTAAACTGTCAGTATTTCATCAATTCATGCGGTCTGAACTGGTGCCATCAGCAACGCTAACGGGACTCGAACCTGACTTGCTGTAATGAAGCGTTGACTCGCGAAATAGCAGCAAATTACAGAAGTGAATTACCACATCGTCGACGAAGCAAAGTTGTTTTTGCTACATCAATAGACTATATTACTCATTTTCTGTTAATAAGTAGACTAGCAGTAGTTTCGATACATAACGTTTCCGGTTGCGAAATGCAACTGTTTCCCTTCGGCAGCCGAATGGAACCTGGTACATTTCTCACTATCTCATTGTCTCTGCTTCTCTTTGACTTTTGAATAAGAGTTATAGTCCTTCTCCTTCTCCCCTTCTCTTTCCTTATCACTCTCCTCTATTCACCCTCTCCCTCTCCTCATCTTCCTCTTCCTTTTCCTCTCTCTCTCAGATTGGGTTGTGAGGCACATAACTTAGCTTTCTTGCATATAAGATAGTCCGTCTCTCTATGACCCTAAATGCTCCCTTGAATATGTTTCTTAAGTCTCGTCGAAGTGATAATCTCTAGACTTGAATTCGACTCATGTCCTTTAGCCCCTACAACCGATAGATTGGTATTTTATATGTTTTTTGCTGTCAAGGCGGGCAAACAAAGCATGCTAAGATCTCTTTTCTGCCTTTATATCTACCGCCAAGTAGACCTCACTGTGACTGTGAGTGTGTTTAGCGTATGACCAAAACGGATGTCGGTAACCAGGCTCAGGGTAGGTAGAGTGGCCGAATGCAAAGTGGCCCGAAGGTGGCCACTGACAGTTGGACCAATTGATGGGGCAGTCGAGGGGCGAGGGATTTCGCCAGTTGGGGTCTTGTATGAAAAGAACTTGGTGAATCTGGCCTCGGCGTTAAAGACTCAACTTATAATTTATGACCCGATGCAAGGGCGAAATGTAACTGTTCACCTCAATTTTACGCTGTTGCTACTCTCGGTTAACAACTCCTGTCTCCACCTCCATCGAATGACCACACTCCGTTTGCGACCTCTTCATTCTGTAGGAAAGTGGCTGTATCATTTGCGCTTGGGAGGAGTCTGGATGGCAGGTGAAATGGCCGCATGACATGCAAGCCTGTGGGCAAGATAGACCAGCTTGAGACATTTATCACGACTTCCGTGGATGCATGTGAGCGTCTCGAGAAATCGGAACTTGCCATCGCCCTCATTGACTCCTGCAAACGTGTCACTGGGCCTAGAAACCAACTAGAATGGTGATGTTAGTACCCTTATTCCGTTCACATTTTAAAGGGTTTATCAACTCACAAGTTTCCTGAAGAAAGGCTGGACAAAGGACGGCTTTTTCAGATAAGCACTATTTACAATTTATTATTTCGCCCGTATCAGACGCTACTTTTGTCAGGCCGCAACTACATAAATAATGCAGAATATTAGTATGTAGCTATAATGAATGTCAGGGTCTAAAAGGCTTTCTTGTTAGTTTTGTCCAATGAGACTTGCGCTTCTTACAGCAAAGTTGCCCAAAATGATTCGCAATACACACGAAGAGTAGATGGGTTTAGAAAAATCTCTAACTTTAACCTTGTTGAGAAAACTTGTGCTTTGTATGAAAGTGCATGAAGAAGAGGTTCTTGGGTCAATCTCATCGGAATACCAAGGTTTGGCATCAATATGACGTTCAGATTGACGGAGTCCACCGGACAGCATCCGAGCTAGAACTAATTCTTGCAAAAACTTTAGGCTAACATCAAGTCAAGAAGTCTATCCAGCTCTATCCCGCTCATAATTAAAAACAAAAATATATAGAGATATAGATAGATATAGATAGAGGTATTTATGTTTATTTTTGTCTGTGAGTGTTTGTGCATGTATTTGTGTGTTAATGTCTACATGCAAAAATGGACAGGTCAGAATAATTTTGAAAGTGCCCACTGGTAGTCCCTATTTAGTTTAAGGTGATGCGAAACTGGTAGCTGAATTTTCACACAATGCTATGAGAAGAGCTGACATTTCCATTTAATTTCGCGCAACTTTGCTTTCTCAAACAGTTTTCTCATCCAGGATGGACTGCAGTTTCGAACTCGCCTAGGTCTTATCAACACCCACAGCGGGAGTCGAACCATGACGGTGCAGCGCGTAATCTTGTTGTCTTGAACTTCACATCTGCCTTGTCACCCAAGGGCGTGATGGTCAACATGTCGAGATTACATGCTGCCCTCGACCCTCGTTGGGGGTGTTGATAAGATCCAGGCGAGGTCGGTATAAGAACAATTTTTGGGAATGCAAGGCTAAGCGAAATTCAACAGAAACATCAGCTCTATTCGTATGATTGTGAGAAAATTCAACTACCAGTCCTTAATCAGCTTAAACGAAATATGATGAACATAGCACATAGATCAGATTTTCTGGTAGTTTCAAAGACTTGTTCATTAAATTCTAATGTGCCAAGAATAGTCTTGTTTATTAGATGTAAACCTGAAGATTTGCAAGAATGAGTTCCAGCTTTGGCAACTTCCATCCTGTAGCATAAAGCAGAAAGGATTAGCTCGTTTATAATTGAAAAAAGATGAATCATGTCTTGTGGACTTTGTCAACCTGAACGTGATATTAAAGCCATAACAACAGGAATCAACTTTTATCTTGACTTGCTGTTGACCGACGACTCTCTTTATCATATACTTTACTATGAAATGAGAATCTGCACAATAAAGATTTGTAAATTGGCGACTTCATCAATGGAAATAGATCTCAAGGTTTGACGTTGAACATGCGTCTAAACTCTATATTACTCTCAAGCTGACATTAACTCACCTGGACTCGTCAGATAATGCATTAATTCACATTGCTTGTGGAGGCACAATATTCCATTTGTGGCCATGGGTTCTGTCTTAGCAAGAATCTCTTCATTTGATTTTCGCCTCTGCTTTATGCTACCTAGAACATGTCCATTTTAAAGTCAAAGATGTGGCTAACCTGAAAACCTAATCTTGAGTTATACGGATTTGTGGCCTGAAAGCGAATTTACATTATTAAATAAAAGAGGGTGTTCGAATTTGTCCACAAAGTCTCAGTTAGAGTCTCCGACGAGATTCGAACTTAAGACGCTCTCATTTATTCTTCAGCCAGTCACTAGTTTTAATTAATCTTGCTATATTATGCATCCTTATTCTCTGATTATTGTACTGACAGGACTTCTAGCATATAAATGTAAAACAAAAATCCCTTCTTCATGCGGTAACATGCCTGGAATCAATTCACTTATAGGAAATGTAGCTCTTTTAGTTCATCATCTGTGAAATCAATTTCATTTCGATTTGGGCAAACAACAGTTACTTTTTCGTTTAGAAGTAGGTTGCCTACACTACTAGTATGACTTATGCATGAGGTTTATTCACACTATTTCGGTTGAGAGAAATAGGGTGAATACATTTTATACATATATATATATATATATATATGATATACGAGTAGTCTCGAAATCCTACTTATAAGCAAAAAATAAGTAACGTAGTAGACTTCAATTTCAAATACAACTTTGCTTTAGTGATGAACTCACCACAGAGTGTATTATGGGAAAATGCCTGGAATTTTCTTAAATTCACAGCTATCCTCTGATCCAAGGGCCCTCGTGACAATGTGGCGTAGTGATCAACATCTCAAGATCATACGCTGCACTGTCATGGTTCGAATCCCGCCTGCATTCTCGAAAATGCAGTCAATTCCAGTCACGACGAGAACAAGTTTTGAGAAAGCAAGGTTATTTGAAATTCAATGGGAAAGTCTGATTTACTCATATGATTGTGGCAAAATTGAGCTACCAGTCCTTTCATCACCTTAGACGAAATAATGTCAGTACATCTCATATTAACAATAGCTAAGCCTATGAAGGCTGTTTGTATGAGCTTAACTCGACTTAACTTTGCCCCACCTACTTTACAACGTTCTTTATTTTTATATATTGCTTTATATTTTCTCGTGCACAAGCGTAACTTACGGACACCATGTTACTTTTTTGCCACCATTTTCCTTTGATTTTGGCAATTACGATGTGCGTTGATCTTGTTTGTGCAACTTGATCTTGTTGTCAAGACGACTTAGTTGGACGCACCTTGTCCAAAGTCTTCCGCTATGGTAGTCTTCATACTTCCAAGACGTTTTGCCGACGTCGCAGTCGGCATCATTAGTTCGCGTTGCCATTCTCAGCATAATGTTACAACGCGTCAGAGACAATGGAGGTCAATCCCTTGACCAACTTTCTGCTGTTACTGGCAGGCTTCACTGATGACACAAATTACGATGCCGGAGAAACGTCTGCTAAGATACCAATTCCACGGTCCGATGCTGGAAATAATGCTGACTACTACAGCAAAATACTTCGGACAAGATGTGTCTAACTAAGTCGCCCTGACAACAAGACCGAGTTTCGAAAACGAAATCAACCCACTTGGATACATCGAAAAGAGACTGCGACATCCCGAGGGCCACATCATCTTGGTCTTCCTATCTTCCGCATCAACAAGTACGCCTTGCTGAGAACAAAAGTTGTCCAGAAGTTTTCTTTGGGTTTTTCGGCTCCAAGGCCAAAGTGCGTATGGTTGTCTGGTGAACTCCCTCATCTGATTTCTTGTTGACCTAAACTCCGTCTGAGGACCCAGTGACCGAAACCTAGTAATTGTGAAGCTTACTTCCATTTCGAGTGAAAGCGTTGTGTGAAGAGATTCGAAGGTCGCTTCCACCATAAACTAAGGGATTGCCAATATTTACTTTCAGCGCTCTATTTCAACTATTTACTTCATCAATCATGCGTAAGACTAGTGTTGACGTCATCTGGACCAGACTGGGAAAGTGTGCACTTAATAAAATTTACTTAGTTCTAATGTGTATTGTTATCGCTCAAGATTACTTTTACTTAGCAAATGCTTCTGATGTCAGGTAGTTGCCATGCTAACGGCTAGTGCACTGCCAGTACAGAAATGGTATGTCATCTTCTGCTTACCGGTTCTATCCTCTTCGGTTTGGATGCATTATGTTAATGGAATGCATCGGTAGAAATCACAGACTAACGACTCATCATAGTGACAATTTATATCTCTATGCTAAGCCTGACGGCCCTCATTGATGACGCCAGTGGGAATATGCCAATTCACCGGTTTGATACAGGAAATTATCGGAAATACTCGGGAAAACCGAGACCAAATCTAAGGT